GCACCCCCGGCCTGGTGGGTGGAAGTGGGGTCTCCGGGCGGGCGGGCTCCGGGTGGGGGCGTGGAGACCGAGGGTCGAACCGGCTGCAAGAGTGGGAGGTAGGATACGCCTCTCCTCTTTGGAAAGACTCCTCTCCTCCCGGAGCCCCAAAGACTGGGGACAGAAATCGGGGTCCGCGAGCCCAGGGACCTGGCCCAGGGACCGCCGCACCACGCCTCTTGCAGAATGCGTTCGGGTAGCTCGCGGAGCTGGGAAGAGCTCTAGGGCGGTGAGCGGGAGTGACAGTAGAGAAGGCAGAACCCTCCCCACGCAATCTGGCTTTCTTTCCCCATCTTCCCCTGCTTCAGTCATTACCTGCTGTCTGATATGCCCCTGGCCCCAAGTTCTGCTCTAGATTGTATCCGGTTCCCTTGAGTCTGGAGCGTGACATTGGAAGTTAGTGAGTCCTGGGTGAACTTGCACAGCTGTTCATTCTCTACGTTTCAGTTATATCCTCTGTGTCGGGTGGGGCTGGTTCTCTGGTGACCTGTCAGTAACTGACCATCTCTCCCTTGGCGTGGTCTGCTCTGAAATAGACTGCTCATTTAGACTCGGTTTAGCCTGGGAATAGCTGAGTGACTGGGCAGTTACCTCACTTTTCTGGTTTCCACACTAGTAAAATTGGGCCCCTGTCATCTGAGTCTGAGGCCGTCTTTGGCCACTGTAATATTGCACCCCACCAACTCCCTCTCATTCTTCTGTGCTTGTTTCACAAGTTTATTGGTTATCTCTTACTCCTACTAGGAAAATACCTTGAGTGCAGGGAGTTTTATCTTACTCACTACTGTATTCCCAGCTCTAAAACAGGGCCTAGAACAGTGATGGCCTGAGGGATGAGTAGGAGTTCCTTAACGGGATGGTGTTCAATTAGAGCAGGCATCCTCAAACTACGGCCCGCGGGCCACATGCAAATACAAATATTGTATTTGTTCCCGTTTTGTTTTTTTACTTCAAAATAAGATATGTGCAGTGTGCATAGGAATTTGTTCATAGTTTTTTTTTAAACTATAGTCCGGCCCTCCAACGGTCTGAGGGACAGTGAACTGGCCCCCTGTTTAAAAAGTTTCAGGACCCCTGACTTAGAATATCTATCTTGTTGGGTCATCAGAAGAACAGAACTCTCCAGGAGCCCACAGAAGTCACCAATGAAATCATCTTCGCCATCACTGGCCTAGAACATGGGAGGTGATCAACAAATAACTTCGGAATGTTGCCTGAATAGGAATAGGTGTTGGCTTATGTGTCTATGGTACCACAGTGAGTGAGTGGCATCCCTTTTACCCCAAGACCGTCCTGCCTCCCTTCCTGCCCTGTGTCCCTTCCTTTCTGATGACAGAAGTCAGGGAAGGAGGGAAACACCAGAAGTTTCACATCCCCTCTGACTGCTTGGACCCCCTTGACCAGTTACTCTCCTGGGAGGCCAGGATGAAGAAGAGGGGCGGTGAGAAGGAATGACACTGACCAGCCTCACCTTCCCCAGGTGCCTCACCCAGTCCTCCCCCACTGGAGCAGGGTGGTGACCTCCTTATTTTTATTTTATAGTGAGGAAGCTGAGGCTCAGAGAGGCTGAGCAGTTTGCCTGAAGTTCCACAGTTGGGAAGAGCCAGGGCTCTAGCTCAGAGGTCCAGACACTGACCCCTGTGCTCTAAGTATCCCTCCATTGCTGACATTTATCTTGCTGCCTCCTTGCTTCCTCCTGCCTTCTATCCCACGGTCTTTATTGTGTCTGCTGGTCACAGGCCCTGGGCTAGGCACTGGGGCTCCAGGGCTTCCCAATGTTGGGTTCTTGGTATTTGGAAGCTACCTCATGTCAGGAGGAGTTCAGTTCACCTCATTCTATTTATATAACACCATGCTCAGGTCTCACCTCCTTTCTCTGGATTACTCTCCTAGCTCCAGGGTCGTGGATATGGACCTTTTGCAGTTCCTAGTCTACCTGTTTGTCCTGCTAGTGTCTGGGACAGGAGTCACAGACACTCAGAGGACCTCCGTGGACCCGAGCCTGGAGATCTGTATCCTTTGGGGTTGGAGGTGGAGTTAATGTGCTATGCCTGGGGGACTTTCTAGGGATGGATGAGGCCCAGCTGATGAGAATAGGAGAGAAAAGGTAAGATACTCTCATCAAACCTTGATCGAGTCCACTGCCTTCTGAGCCTCAGTTTCCCTATTATGTTAAACAGAGAAGGCAATTTACATCTCTCAGAGGCTCAAGGACTCTGAGAATAGTACATATGTGCCTAGTACCTTGTGGGTGAGACCCTGGGCAGGGACTCAGGCCCTGGCATTCTGGGCCACCTACTCTGGGTTCAGGACTTGGGGACACAAAGATGAGTCAGTCCCTGGCTTTGAGGCCTTCACAGGCCCCACGTTGTACTTTGTGATCACTGCTGTGATGAGAACATGAGAGAAACGCTGTGCTGGCTTTTGAGCGAGGTCTTGAAAGAACAAAAGCTCGTAGGCGCCCTAGCCATGTGACTCAGTTGGAGTCACCTGTATACCAAAAGTGTGCAGGTTCGATTCCCAGTCAGGGCACATACCTAGGTTGTGGGTTCGATCCCTGGATGTTTATAGGAGGTAGCCGATCGATGTTTCACTCACACATTGATGTTCTCTGTCTCTCTCTCCCCCTTCCTCTCTCTGAAATCGATAAAAACATATACTTAGGTAAGGATTAAAAAAATAAAAAAAACTCATAGAGAAGGGTTGGGGGCATCCCAGGCAGAGTGTACAGTGTGAGCAGAGGAGCGCAGGTTCTGGGGACAGTGACTAGTTGCGGGAGATGGTGGGAAGACCATGGGGAAGGAGTACAGGAGCTAGGTCCTGAAGGGTTGTGTTCAGGCTCTTGGGTGTAGAATCCTCTGTACACTAAAAAAACTCATAGAGAAGGGTTGGGGGGCATCCCAGGCAGAGTGTACAGTGTGAGCAGAAGAGCGCAGGTTCTGGGGACAGTGACTATTTGCGGGAGATGGTGGGAAGACCACGGGGAAGGAGTACAGGAGCTAGGTCCTGAAGGGTTGTGTTCAGGCTCTTGGGTGTAGAATCCTCTGTACACTGGACAAATGATACATTGTAGGATGCAAACGCTTCTCAGTTTGTTACTTCTCTGGTAGGGAGGGCCTCAGACCTGGGCATCTGTGGCCTTTGCAGATATTTGCTGGTCAGGAATGGGCCTTCTGGGTTGGGGCCACTGGATTATCCAGGCAGAAGTATCAGTGCCAGCTCCTTAACTTAACGCTGCCCAGACAAGAAGATGTTTGAGGTGAAGCGACGGGAGCAGCTGTTGGCATTGAAAAACCTGGTACAGCTGAATGATGTCCACCAGCAGTACAAGATCCTTGATGTCATGCTCAAGGGGCTCTTTAAGGTGCATGCAGGCGCGGGGCAGCTCATGGCAGCCTAGTCTTTGATCTGGGCATTGAGGGATGAGTAGGCGTTCCTTAACGGGATGGTGTTCAATTAGAGCAGGGGTCCTCAAACTACGGCCCGCGGGCCACATGCAAATACAAATATTGTATTTGTTCCCGTTTTGTTTTTTTACTTCAAAATAAGATATGTGCAGTGTGCATAGGAATTTGTTCATAGTTTTTTTTAAACTATAGTCTGGCCCTCCAACGGTCTGAGGGACAGTGAACTGGCCCCCTGTTTAAAAAGTTTGAGGACCCCTGAATTAGAGGGAACTGCGGGCACCAAAGATTTGAAGTTGGGTTTAAGTAAACTGGGGTGTGGCTGGGCTGTGAAGGCCTCTGCAAAGCCACTCAGCCAGGGGGGGTTCCCTCAGGTGCTGGAGGACTCCCGGACAGTGCTCCTTGCTGCGGACGTGCTCCCAGATGGGCCCTTCCCCCAGGATGAGAAACTGAAGGATGGTATGGTCTTCCTGACCTCTCCCCCTCCTCCCCACCACCTTGATCTTCTCTGGTTGTTTCTTCCCTCCTGTTTTTGTCACGCTTTTTTCTCTCTGGAAACACCCTCTTGTGGCACCTTCCAGGTGTCCACCTTTGGTGGATAAGCACTTAGTATATGGTTTTCCAAGAATTTCTGGGCTTCAGAGCCAATTTCTGTGTCCCTGACACAAATGTATTCCTTTGTGCTGTCCTGTGCTTGAAGCACGGGAACCAGGGAGGAAGCTCTGCCCACTACGACTCCGGGGAACCTTGCCTTCTCCACCCCTGACCCTTCTGATAGAGAAGGCAAGGGCTGTTCGCATTTTCAGGAGAAAAAACAGGCCTACTGAAGTGACTGGACAGTGGGGGCAGCTGCCCACACTCCTTACTACTGTTCTAAAAGCCTCACCCTCCTTAAATCATTTTTGAGACTAGGTGGGACAAGCATAGATAAATAAGGTAAGAGACTATTCTGGGTCCCTTCATTCCCTCTTCCAAGAATTTCTCTCCGGTGATAATTTTCTCATGAACTGATGGCATTTTAACAATAAAACCTCTTAGATTACACTGAGAGAGGATGGAAGTGGCCTTTACATATTGAACGGTGGGCACTTTTACAAATAGCATCTCTCATCTCCACTGTAACTGAGGAAGTTATACGTATAACTTGGCTCTCAACCTATAAGTCAAGCTTACTCCTGAGTGCAAGGTGGTTCAAAGCCCAGGGGCTCAGAACCAGCTGGGCCTGCCTTTGGAGGAGTCTGCCTGGGCCTCATCTGCGGGCACTGGAACAGGAGCTGCCGCCAGGGCTGGGTCTACACTTATTCTTCATGCTGGCCTGGGTCGGGGGACCTGCCACCATGGTGAACACTAAATTCAGTCTAGACTGATCTATTGACGAGAGGAAGGATATTAGTGGGGAAACTGATGAAATTCAAATAAGGTCTATGGATGTATTGTATCGATGTTAACTTCTGGTGTAGATAGTTGTACAGTGGCTATGTAAGATGATAACAGTAGAGGAAGCCAAGTGAAGGGATTTTGTGGTATATTGTGTAAGTCTAAAATTATTTCAAAATAAGTACTTTATTTAAAATTAAATAAAATTGGAAGAATATATTTTTTAAAAACAAAGCCTGTCATGTTCCCTGGCCATGCTAACAGACCTGACCCCTCACAGACACTCTGATTGTGCTAACACCAGGCTCTTGACATTTGGATACTAAGTTGAGGAGCATAAGCCCCAGCAAAGCCTCAGGTGATGCATATGCCTCCTGTGCAGAATGACACCCACGTCTCTGGTCCCCACGGCAAATGAGTCTTCTAAGCCATGAGATACGGGGGAAAGAGCAGGGCCTCTGCAGTCAGACAGAGCCGGGTTTACAGCCCAGATTTGCCACTCACTTTCTCCCGGGTAAAATGGGAACGGCCACCACATCTCCCTCTAACGATGGTTTGAGGATTCAGTGATTTGGTGGACACAAAGCCCTTAGCACAATTGTCTGTTCTCTGCTTATGGGGCTTGGTGGGCTTGCCTCCATTGTCTGGGGAGTGTCTGGGCTGGCCAGGAGGGCAGTAGAAGGGCATCTGCCCTGGGCTCTCATTAGGTCCCTCTCACCAGCTTTCTCCCAAGTGTTGGAGAACACGGCCTTCTTCGGCGACGTGGTGCTGCGCTTCCCGAGGATCGTGCACCACTACTTTGACCACAACTCCAACTGGAATCTCCTCATCCGCTGGGGCATCAGCTTCTGCAACCAGTCGGGTGTCTTTGACCAGGGGCCCCACTCGCCCATCCTCAGCCTGGTAAGGACTGGGGCGGGGACAGCCGGGAGCCCTGCCTCCCAGTGTCCTGTGAGCCTCGCAGCTGCCTGCAGCTGGGCCTGAATGTCAGCTCTTGGCTGCGTTTTCTGTGATAAGCCTCAAGGCACCTTGAGGTGCCATCTCAAGGGGTTCTATGCTGACCTGGGTCCCTATGGGTCATCATCTGGCCCACAGTCTTGGGCCCTGGGTTCCAATGTGGAGGGAGTGGCTCAGGGGTGAGCGAGAGGCAGGAGAAGGCAGAGGATGACTAACTTTTCCTCGTCTGCAGATGGCCCAGGAGCTGGGGATCAGCGAGAAAGACTCAGACTTCCAGAACCCATTTAAAGTAGACCACACAGAGGTGAGCTCTGGGGGCTTGTGGCCATGTCTGTTCTGCTTCTGCTGGGCCATGGGAAGCCAGGTCCTGCAGGGGTTGGGGTGCCTGCGGTGGAGTGTGAGGGCTTTGGACTTGGAGCCAGACATACCCAGGTCTGGGTCCAGGAACCATCACTCACTCACTGGTGCCTTTGGGCAAGCCACTGCCCTTGTCTTAGCCTCAGGCCACCTGTCTGTTCATGGTGCACCCCAGCTATGGGGGGCAGTCAGAGGCTGTGAACACACCCTTCCCAGTGAACAGTAGGCACCCACATCAGGTGGATGTGAGGGAAGCCAGGGGGTGTCAAGTCATGCTCTTCTCTCTTCTAATCACCCAGCCAAGCTTCTATCCTACATTCCTGTACATGTGGCCATTCTAGGGGGCTGAGGTGGACTCTCAGGGCTGAGGCTGTTGGTAGGATGACAGATGGGGGCACATACAGTAGAGGAGAGGAGGGGATCAGAAGGATAGGAAAGAAGGGCTGGAGGACTGGACTCCTCAAATCACAGGCCGGCCCCTGCTCTAAGGAGGGGAGGGGAGTCAGGATCGGTGAGGGCTCTCAGTTTTATACCCTGCTTGCAGGCTAACAAGCTAGCCTGCCACTGTTGCACGGATACCGACAGGTCAGAGGCATCGGAGTTTACTAGAGCAAAAGCGGTGTCTAGACTGTTGGACTGGTCATGTTGGTTCCCCTTGTTCCCTGAGTCCCACAGGAGTGACACAGAGGGGCTCAGGTGGATGCCACACAGACAGTGGGTTTGCATCATAGCTGAAGAATACTAAGCTTGGAAAATTTACTGATTTATAGTGAACAGAAGTAAACCCGCTCTTCGTTTTGGGGGAGACATCACCTCATCCTTCAAGGTTCGCTGCAGGCACAATCCTGAGAAATGGCCCAGGTACAGAGTGGTCGGGGCTTTGTGTTCTTGGTGTATCCAGCAAGAACACGCAGGGACGCTCAGGCCATCCCTCAGCCCTACATGTCTTGGCTTAACTCAGATCCCACGAACGTACTATTCAGTCTATTAATCTGACTGATAGGGGCTAGAACCATATTTGTTCAGTTTGTCTCAGACCACATTTAATTAAGGCTGCCATCAACAGGACTAAGCCGCAGGATGAGGCCAGCCTGCAGTATTGGTCTCAGCCATGTGCTCCCGGATCCTGGACTCAGCCGGCTGTGATCAGTTTTGGGGAGACCAGTAGGTTTTATTTTAGACAATTGGATGTGGTCTAAGGCCAATCCGTTATTCATTACCACCCACACAAGAGTTTAGACTGACCTGCTGATCTTTGATGTTATTGCCAGTAATTACAAGGGCAGTAGATGGACCCCACAGCTACCCTCATCCCTAGTGGAGAGATAAGATACTCCGTGGCCCACTGTCTCCCACGTTACACTGGATTTGGGTCACCGTTACATCCTTTGGCCGAATCCTAAGTGTCACTGTGGAGTTGCAGCCTCAGTTGCCCTACATGATAGAAGCCCAGGCCACTCGGGCATCAGGAGAAGAAGATGGATTTGTATCTGTGAGATTGAAACAAGGTCGTACTGGCATGAGTGTCTGCACAGGGTCACTTCGGGAGCTGCCTTTGATGGCATCAGGCACACAGAATAGTTCAGTAATCACGTGGTTGAGAATGACACATCCAGCAGCTGGTCAGATTGTCATCTGCAGCTGCCACTTGGCTTGGGCAGACCCTAGGATTGTTTTACCAAGTGGCAGTGCTGGACATAAGGCACAAAGAGGATTGATTATTCCCCGTGTCTCTTGGGATCTAAGGCGCTTTCTCCCTAGACGCTGGGATTATTGCTACAAGATCGGCGTGTCATATCCCAGGACCTATAATGTCACTTTGTCACTGATCATCCCTTACTTTCACCTAGATCTTTGTCCAGAAGGGTCAGATGTGAATGGGACAAGGGCATTTTTACAAAATTTCAGAGGCATATCATATCCCCTATCTTGGTCCACATGGGCCACTGTGGGGGCAGTTGGCAAGGACGTATTCAACCAATTGGTCATTATCCTAATGATCTTGGGCGTACTATTTCAACCTGGGACTCCGGGTAGCCAAACCAGAAATACAGGGTGGGTTTGTGCCATCAATGGCGGCAGGTGTGTGGCTTCATCTAGTACGATAATGCATTCAAGTGGAAATGACTCCCATCTGGGTAGACTGGATCCGCAGTTTGGTACTGGTCAGTCTCATCAGAGAAAGGGCCTTCCTATGGGTATCTAAGCGAGTGACCCAGACTGTCCAGTTTTCAGCCACAATTTGTTTCCACAGTTCATGGCCCCGAAGATGGATGGCCATCTCATCCACTAGTCTGTAGTCTTCTGAGCGGTAGCCCAGAAGACTATGACATGCTTGGTCATTAGGAGTATCATCTAGCAAAGGTGGTGGTGGCGGCTTTTAATTCAGATCATTGTCTGACTGGCCTTTGTGGCAGCTAGTCTTTCATTGTTGTCACTGGAGCTGATGGCTGCTGTCACCCATAGACAGCTGTGTCAGGGGTCCCCCAAACCTCCCCCAGGTTAATGATTCCCTAGGGCTCAGTGTATGGCCATGCTCACAGCCATGATCTATTAGAAAGACTGGCATGTCTGCTTGTTGATGGGAACGACCCGTTAGGGAGGAGGGACTAATGGTGCGGGGGTAGGAGAGTTGCTCCATTGCCAGGCAACACTTGAGTTTAGTGTCAGGAATTTAAAGTAGGCTTTAGCCAGGCCTCGTGGGAAAGGGATCCAGGAAAGGATGGGCAGTGTTTCCCTTTTGCCCCAACTAGGTTTGGGTCCCTGGTGAGGCTGAGCCATTGAGGATGAAGGGCCAGGATCCCTCGACCGGCCATCCCCAGCCAGAGCCAGAAAGTATGGGAGAGGCCTGCCAGCTCATCTCCCCCAAGAGGACCAGAAAATTAACTTGTAAGGACAGGAGGTAGAGTGTGGTCAGGCAGCACTGTTCATGAGGACAGCGACACTAGAAGGGGACTGGGTTTTGAGGAGATGCAGCCATGCCAAGTTGGGGGCACATTTGGGACATCCCAGTGGAGGTGCCAGGCAGGCACTTAGATATGGAGGTGCACATTTAAGGGGTAACTGGCCATATAGACATAACCAAAGCCATGGGTTTGGAGAGAGCAGAGGGAGAAGAATGCCCCCAATCAAAGTCGTCCTCCTCCTCCTCCTCCCATCCCTGTTCACCCTGTGTTCCTGTTTCCTCACCGGCACCACCATCCACCATCCACCATCTATGAAGCCATGAGCCTGGGCACTATTGTCTTCTCTTTCTCCCACCCCCTTTCCAGGGTCTGTCAGTTTGACCTCTGATCCACCTGCTTCCTGTGCACTCCCTTGCCGAGACAGGATGCCTGCTGTCTCTTATTCTCGCTGGCTGCTCTCCCCTCCTCCTCAGGGGTATGGCAGCCAGGGCGTGGGGGGTGGTCTGCGGTTGTCGGGCACGTGGCCCCTCACTCTGGGAGGATTCTGTTTATTGTTTCTCTGATGCCCGTGCTTGTTCACACCAAGGTACTTGTCCCTGTGCCCGGAATGTCCTCCTCCCCTCACCCTCTTTGCTGTCAGCCTCTTGCTTATCTTTCAACCCACTTAGCCTTGTCCCCAAGCCCATTTAACCATCTCCATGTCGTTGGCTCCCTGAGGGCAGGGCCTGCATCTAAGCAACCCTCCTGTCCCCCGCAGTGCCCTAGCTCGGAGTAAACTGCTGCCAGTGGACTGAGTCAGACCACTCTGCTCTTCCCCCAGTTCATTTCTAGCACCGACCCTTTCCAGAAGGCCCTGAGAGAAGAGGAGAAACGTCGGAAAAAAGAGGAGAAGCGGAAAGAGATCCGAAAAGGCCCGCGGATTTCGCGATCCCAGTCCGAGTTATAGCCCCGTTGCAGCCCATGGTTCAAGGGGCCAGGAGGAAGAGGAGGAGGCAGCGTGGCCAAGGTGAAGCGGTGCCATCTGGTTGGTGGTGAGAGTCGGCACCTGTGAGAGAGGAGACCATGTTTGCTTGGCCCCCGGGAGCCGGCTTTGAGCCCAGCTGCAGGGACTGGGCCGCGGAGGCTTGGGTTTCCTCCCGCGGCCTCCCTGGAGGGAGCGTTGAAGGGACCCTGTGCTGCAAACACAACTCTGTGGAGATGCTGGGGGAGGCAGGAGGGGTGCAGGACTGGACCCTCCCAGTGGGTTAGTGCTGATGCTCGGCTGGCTGCTGCTCTCCATGGGGAGGCAGCAGAACCGGGGTCTGAGCCGCGTGTGGAGGTGCCACGCCTGCTGCTGGCTGCATTGTCACTGAGCCACACGGCACAAGGTCCAGCCCCCTGCAGAGACACAATAAAAGTCGGCAAACCCTCTGGGCAAATCACAGCTGGTTTGGGCCCTAGGAAGCTGTGAGGCCTTTTCCAGACAGGTGGCGAGGGGCCTGGGTTGGGGAACCAGAGGCCCTGAGAGGTGTAGAGAGCACCTTAGAGAATGTTCCACTTCATCAGGGAGCCCCAGGCTCTGGCAGGGCAGCAAAGTAGGGGCTTGGCTTAGGCCTCCTAATCCATTCTCTGCACTGTCCTTGACGAAGAGTCGGTGTTAGAAAGGGACTGGAAGTGTCCTGGGTGGGTGTTTATCCAAGGTGACCTTGGAGTAACATGATCTCTATCCTCAGCTAACTGGGGACAGTCATAGAACAAGTACAGGAAAGAGTCAACTGTCCTTTCTGGCAATGCTGGGAGACCCTCAGCCTGTGGGCTGCAGCTCTGCAGAAGACTGCATTGTAATGGCAGGGCTGCCCCAAGCTGGATCAGTCAGGCAGTGAGCTCTCTGGTTCAGGAGGGATGCGAGCCGAGACCCGTGGTCACCAGGCAGGGAAGCTGCAGTGGCCTGAGTGAGCAGCTGCCCTTCAGTTGTGCTCTGCCCAGGCAGAGTAAGGAGGACCTCTGGTGGGATTTCCAGCGCTGTCTCTTCAACCTTGCAAAGCCAGGGTCTGATGTGCCACTAACCAGATGCACCGTGTGAGTGTGGTGGTGGAAACAGTGGCCCACAGGGTCAGGGGGTTTCCTAGTGGCCAGACCAGCTCCCAGGGTGCCTGCTGGTGGCAACAGTGATGTCTTCATTGGTGCTTTCAGCATGGTCTTGGACGTCGTTCCTGTCTGTTGAGCTTCCAGACACGATCTGTGACACCCGTGGAAAATCTGGGTGCTCCCAGTATCCCCTAAGACAGGGCTCCTCAGCAGTGGCACTGTTCACATTTGGGACCAGATAATTCTTTGTTGTGCAGAGGTCTGTGTATGTGTGATATTTAGCAGCATTCTTGGCCTCTACTTACTAGATGTCTGTAGTCATCTCCCAGTTATGACAACCAAAAATGTCCCCAGACATTGCGGGATGTCCCCTGGGGGCAAAACCTCCCTGGCCACATCCCTTCCTCCTCCTTATCTCAGCCCCACATCTTCCTGTGCTGTCCCATCACTGCCCGGAAATGCTGTTGATAGTTCCTGAGGACCCTCCCAGGCCTCGGGGCCACTGTGTTGTCCTTGTTTTCTGCTCTTGGTCTGAGTCTGCTCTGTCTCTTCCCGACTTCTCTTTCCTCACCTGCGCCCTGAATAAAGAGTTTACTGGCTTAGTCTCTCCTTCGTTCTTCTTGACAGCTGCATCCTCTAAGACAGGGATAGGGAACCTTTTTTCTGCCAAGGGATATTTATAACATCATTCTCCAGCCATATAAAATTATCAACTTAAAAATTAGCCTGCTGCCCTAGCCGGGTTTACTCAGTGGTTAGAGCACCGGCCCTCGGACTGAAGGATCCTGGGCACATACCTCAGTTTCTCGCTCGATCCCTGGCCCCACTTGGGACGCTTGGGATGCGTGGGAGGCAACCAGTCAATGTGCCTCTCACATCGATGTTTCTCTGTCGCTCCCCCTCCCTTCCACTCCCTCTAAAAATCAGTGGAGAAAATATCCTCGGGTGAGGATTAACAACAACAAAAAATTAGCCAGGTATATTTGGTCAAACATTTAATTAACTCACCCCCAGTGCCTTGGCAGGGCCAGACCAAATGATTACTAGTAGACCCGCAAGCTGGATGTTCCCCACTCCTGCTCTAAGACCACAAAGCTGATGGCACTTGCCCGGTTGTCAGCTGATAAGCCTCAATCCTTATGTTTCAACTTACCCAAAACCAAATGTTATTTTCCACCCTGAAGCCTACCTCTGTGTTAAACCATGGGATACGTGCTTTTGCTTAATCCTGGAGGAAACGATACATGAACTGAATCCTGAAAGATGGGGGGAGGAGGGAGAAGGAGGCAGACACTGACAGAGGCCTACAAGGGGAGGCATCAGAAGCAGTAAATGATAAAACATGCCAAGTTCTCTTCTACGACCTGTCTGTGGTGGGTGTCTGGACATAATGATCATCTGGTCCGATCCCTCCCTTTTCACATGAAGAATCCAGGTCCTGAGGAGGGACTTGTCTGAGGCTGCTCTACCCCTGGGAGCCAGCCTCGGTTCTCCCCGCCAAGGCAGGGTGCCGGCGGGAAGAGCTGTTAGGTTAGGTGAGAAGCCAGGGTCGGAGGGAGATGTCAGTGTTCTTTGCTAAGCTGGGTCCAGTGCCACCACCTTTCTTCTACAGCTTTTACTGAGCCTTCATTTGTGCTCCCTCAGGCTACTTTGCTAGGAACCAGGACCTCTGGGCAGGTTGTGTCCACCTACTTAACCTGATGCTTCTACAGCAAGCATGTCAAACTCATGGCTCACTGGCCACAAGTCTGACATGCTGTTCTACAGCCTCCTGTGGGGGGTTTCTGAGGGAATGAGAGGGCACGGGACCAAATTGAGTCATAGGGTAGGCCAGCAGATGGTTTCCCTCCCCGTCACTCCCCCCCCCCAACAGTAGGGGGAGCCCTGTGAGAGCCACTGAGAGGTGCAGTTGAAGGTCACATTGTCCAGCTCAGTGCCTGGTCCAGAGCTGGGCAGCAGGGTTTGGTTTCCTGTTTCAGAGGGAGACCGGAGACCAGTATAATCAATACCAACTCTAGTCTGTAAACAATGAGAACATTCTTTTTTCCCCCAAAAATATGACTATTTATGTCATACAATTCATTATAAAAAAGTATACTGAAAAATCAAGAAGAAAGTAAACTTTACCCTAAACCCACCATTCCCATAACCATGACTGACAGCTGTTGGGCCTTGCATCCATTTGCCCTTCATGTGAGCGCGTAGATCCCTGTTCTTTTCAATTACAGTAGCTACTTTGTGTGGGCACTTACTACATGCCAGGCCTATGCCACGTGCTGGCTGGTAGCAGCTTCTGCTGCCTCGGGGTCCTTGTCCATGTTGTCTGTTGCTCCAGCTACACCAACACCATATGCAGGTCTCTCCTCATTGTGTTAGGTTTTGTCTTAAATGTGGGAGGCTTTCCTGACATCCCAGGTCAGATCCCTTGTTAGTTTCATCACACCCTGTTACTTTTCTTTGATCGCTTGTGCTATTTATTGTCTGGGTTGTTGTTTTTTTGTTTAACAGTTGTTCACTAGACTGGCAGCTCTCAGATGACAGGAACTATTTCTGTTTGCCTGCCACAGAGGTGTTCAATAAATATTATCAAAGACTGCAGATGATCTTGTTTAATCCTCACAACTATGAGGGGACACGATTCCCATTTTAGAGATGGCAAAACTAAGGCTTGGAACAGTTACACTGCCCAAGGGCACACTGCATAAGTGGGCCCATAGGTCTGCCTCCACACGGCCTGTGTGCTCATAAGTCTTGAGCAACAGCTGCCTCTCGCTTATAGGGAATATACTTTTCCCTTTAACAATATATTGCAAAAGGCTGTCAGTAGGTATACAGTTATCTATGTAATGTTTTTTAAAAAATATATTTTATTGATTTTTTTACAGAAAGGAAGGGAGAAGGAGAGGAATAGGGAGTTAGAAACATCGATGAGAGAGAAACATCAATTCAGCTGCTTCCTGCACACCCCCTACTGGGGATGTGCCTGCAACCAAGGTACATGCCCTTGACCGGAATCGAACCTGGGACCCTTCAGTCTGCAGGCCGACGCTCTATCCACTGAGCAAACCGGTCAGGGCTATCTATGTCATGTGTAGTGATGGATGGTATTCCATTGTGTGGATGTAATTATTCACCCAGTCCCTTATTAGGCTTCCCAATTCCCTAGTTAGACTTCGGGGTGGAACTCTTTAAACACACACACTTGCGGACTTCTTTGAGCACTGGTACTCCATTCCTTAGGATAAACTAGAATTTGCACAGTTGTTTACGTAACCAGCTGCAAGATGGAGCGGTGGGTGCTTGAAGGAGTGGGAATCTGTGGGTGGCTGCGCGTCAGAATTCCTGCGGAATTTTGTCAAAATGCTCACGCCGCCCCGCCTCGCGAGGCTCGTGGTGGCCCGGGCACTGGCATTGCTTTAAAGGTCTGCAGGCGGGGTGTGTGTGTGTGTGTGTGTGTGCCTGCCTGCCTCGATAACCAGAGGAAGAAGCGCGTGTTCGCGGCAGGTGCGAAGGCGCAGAGGTTTTGGACAATTTACGGTCCACGCCGACACTCCGTTTCCTTTTTGTAAGGGGCGTGGGAGGAACGCGGTTTGAATGGTCTCCATACTCCTCAGGGGCCCCGGTTTG